CCTTGCCGCGACCCTCAGGGGAGCTTCCTGGAACACCTGCACACCTGGTTGCCGGTGTGGCTGGTCTTCACACAGGGTGTCCCCGTTCAGCTGGGAGGAAACGCCCCGGGTCCCCGTGAGTGAGTGCCGTGGGTGCACCACTGGAATCTGTGTGCCTTTAGGGGCAGGAGGTTGGCAGGAGGCTTTTAGTGAAGGGCGAGAGCCAGGTGCTGTGGCACCTGGGGCTCCGGAAGTGCCAGTGTGTGGCAGATCAGCAGATGGGACGGGCGCACCTGCACGGACCGGGGCCTCAGCCGCTTGCACTTGGGTTTGGGTTGGTTGATTTGTGGTAGAATACATATACCAATAAACTGCGGCATTGTAAGCATTCGGGTTCTAAGTTCACCCTGTGGTGGCATTGAGTACATTCGCATCATTATTAAACTGTCACACGTCCGTCCCGACATTTTTCATCACCCCCGCTGATGCCCTGTACCCGTTACATCATAATACGCCCTTCTCACCTCCGCCCCCGCCCTTGGCAACCCCCATTCTACCTGCTGCCTCTCAACTCGGCTCTTCCATGGATGTCGTACATGGGAAAAGTGCAACTAAAATTTAAGTTTGTCTTGGTACCAAAAAAATTGAAATTTAGGCGTGTGCTTTTTTTTTCAGGTCTTTGCCATAGGGCACGTGCACTCACCAAAGAGAGTTGGAAAGGGAGAATCACCCTCCGGGGGTACGGCCATGCTGCAATCCCTTCTCCATTCTCCTCTTGGGATTTTGGGCACGCGCACACACACACGCCTGGCGTGATTCTCAATCCCCACTGGTCCACCTGCCGGCCCTCATCTTTGTTTTTTTATTGCCAGAGGACATGTGTGCTTGCCTGAGAGAGACAGGCCGGGGCGGGGGGAGAGGCAGAAAGCACCCCCGTGGGGCACGGCCACACTGTGATTCCCCCTCCATTTCTCCACCTGTCAGGACTTGGGGCACTTGTGCACATGTGCCCAGCATGTCTTTGAAGCCACTGGTGCCAGAATTTGAATTGCTGTCAGCTGTGGTTTTGGGGCAACCCTTGGGTTAGAATTCTTTGACATGAGGGAGGTCATTGCATGGGGCAAGGGGGCTGAAGGCAGGATCTGGCCAACTGTCTGTGCCGTACCCTCCGATGCTAATCTCCCGCCCCTATGCTGAGAGTCGGGGAGCCTGGAAGAGGGGCACAAACAGGCGTAAGGCCAGGAGCCTCTTACTTGTGTGTGAGAAGACGGAGGGGTTCCCAGTGGCCTCTGGCACCCATTACTCCAGGAGGCAGGTCCACGGTCTGCTTCCGGTGTGGCTGCACTCATGGACGCTGAGGCTGGAGCTCTCCTGGAGTCCCTTTAGTAGCAGGTGCAGTGTGGGATGAACCCTCTCCTCCCCCGAGTAAGTGCTCGCCCCTCCCCACCTGCAGGCCCCTGGCTCCAGGCAGAGCCCGGTAACCCAGCCCACCCACACAGCACCTGTCCCGCGTGATCCGAGGGCTGCCGGGGGATCCAGACGCTGGTTTATGACCATCTCTTCTTACTGCGCTGGTGGCCAAGCCAAGGCAGGACCGCGTTGGGAGGTGGCGAGGGGCTTTGCAGAGCTGAGCAGCACAGCCAGGAGGTATAGATAGCTCTGAGCTCAGCCCGTGTGTGGGACGGCCCACAGGGAGCAGAGGGGCGGGCTGACTCAGACCTGATCTCCCTGGATGCTCGCCCGTCTTCTCCGCTTTCCTCAGGGACCCGCTTCTCCCAGCCCCTGTGTGCCTCAGCCCTGTCTGGAGTCCCCAGCTGGCTTCCAGCAGCCCACTGCCCCCTACCCTCATCCAGAGGCCACCAGTCACTTTCCACCTGGTTTCCGCCGGGGTCAGCCCCGTGTGGCGCATGGGCCTGGGGCCCTGGCCTTGGCTCTCAGATGGCAGGGGCTGGGCCTGCTCCCAGCCCAGGGCATGCACAGAGCAGGCCGTGGCGGCCGGGCCAGGCAGACATGCAGATGGCCACCGAGCCGCGGGCAGATTAGCACCTGTTATTCTGAGCAGAGACGCCCGCGCCTTGGCCCTGGCCCTGCCCTGAACGCCTCTCCCTCTCCTGGCCAGCTCTGGGCCGGGCGCTCGTGGCCACGTTCATTTCTGCCCCGTCACTGCATGACCCTCACCCTGGCGCTGTCATCACTGGTCATTCTGACCTTCTCTGGCCAGGCTGGCCGCTGGCCCCTGTGTGCAGGTGGTGGGAGGCGAGGGCGGCCTTTCTCCCTCTCCCCACAGCCTGGTGGCCCTGCTGTTTCCCCTGCCCTCAGGGCTGTGTCTGGCACTGTCACCCCCCACGCTTGCCCCTTTCTGCCACAGCCGTGCACTTCTGAAGGTGCTCTGGTTTCTGAGCCTGTCTGCCTTCTCCGCCCCTGTCTCTGCTTCTCCCCTCTCATGCCCGGGCGTGCCATCCTGATAGCAGTCGGTCAACTCTTACCATTTAAAAAGAAGTTGTCAGCAGACACACTTGCTTATGGAGAGACAGGGAAGGAAGAGAGAGAAGGGGAGGGAGAGGGGGAAAGCACCGCCCAGTGGGGACCTGGTCATGCAGCAATCCCTTCTCCATTTCTCAGTGCTGTTGGGCTTTGGCACGCACATGCACACACACACACACACACACACACACACGTGCACACACACACGTGCACACGTCTGGTGTGTTTTTCAAGCCTCCAGGGCCAAGACTTGAAACGTGGTTGGTCATGAGGATCTGGCTGCCCACACGGCAGGCAGTGGAGCCGGCCCAGTCGGTCAGCCCCTAGGAAGTGCCCAC